GCACGACGGACACGCCACGCCATACATTATTCATGCCCGCTACTGCCCGACTTACGCCACGCCGCAACTATGAGGCCGCGACTTTCCACAAATATGTACTTTTTAAACGCCACAATATTACTTTTAAGTATAGTACGATACAGAATTTAGTCAATGGACACGCACACATACGCATACTAGGTTAGTTGTAGTATTTGGGTGGTAGCTTGTTTTCTGTACCGTTTATCTAGTCATGTGGCATGAGTTTAGAGTTACTGAAGTCTAGTACAAAAACCTCCAAGTTGTAAATTTTAATTGACGCTGTTTTCAATTGAAATGTACAAACCAGATACAATAATAAATTTAAAATGAGTTTTGTTAAAATGGCTAGATTATTTATGCAGAAATATCTTATTACTCGTATAATCGTGTACGTAAGTGAGATGAAGGCACTTAATGTTAAGTCAGACTTTACATTAATGAGAACTCGCATTCGTCAGATCTCGTATCAGTTTTATTCTTAACATTCTATACTCGGCAGCTTCAAGTAAAAAATGGCACCTCTAGTCTTTAGCATTGAATCGGTTAACCTTGGTACCGACGTTACGAGGTGTAACAAAACTTGTTACACGGCCAGTATTTATGCATTCCTATCCTACAGTGAAGCGAGCGAACGAGGTGATCGATGAGATATTTACACCTCATATCGTTAGTTAGAGCAATGTATTGGGATAAGGTAAAAAGGAATGAAAAAAGAATCATTTTTATCACTTTTATTACATAAGAAACCTAAATTTGACAGTTTTCCATTTATTATGTTAATAGCATTCTTATATTGTAAACATTCAAGTTTTTATTTTCAAAAACATTTCAAATGCATGCAAAATTTTAACGTAAGAAAAGAAAAGTAATAAACGCAGACAGCTTTCTTATATTATTATTTCTTTCATAATTAAACAAATCAAATAGTGCTAAATAATCAAAACATTTAGCCATTCTTGTTTGTTTAAGTCAATCATTGACAAAGTAATACCGAAACATTAGCGTTCCTTTCTCTTGAAATCTTTCAAGTTATTAATTCAAAAATAAACACAATTATAACCTAAAAGTACATCAGACTCACTACTTTTTTGCATCTTTTATTTTGTTTAGAAACATGATTTAAAAAATAATATAGTTTTGTTTCGATACACAACATGTTTTGATTTTGGTTTCTGCGGAAGTATTTACTTTTTATTGCATAAACAAAAAGTACCAAAAAGGATTTATGACATGTGTTTAATATTAAAAAATACTATGTTGTTAATTCCTACACTATACAGATACATGTAGTCTAGTTTCAGATATTTGTAGTCTAGTTAACCATACAAGATTTTAAATAAACAGCAGCTCATATTTCACTATTGAATTTTTGTACTTTTTCATGGTCAAGTAGAAGACATGGAAGTGGTTATTGTAAACACAATGCAAGTATTTAAGAGGGCATCAGTATTAAAGAGACATCCCTGTGTTCCAGGTTCATCACAAACGACAATTGCATCACTTCCATGTACCAAACAAAATCAACTATTGGTTTTGGTATAACAAACACTTATCATTATTTTGTGTTCAAGTAAAGCATGTCATTTGTCGTTTTGTATCAAAGTAATCTATTGAGATAAAGCATCCTTACATTGTCTCATGTGTACACAAACAATAACTATTTATTTATTCCTAATAATTATAAAGATTTAGCGTTCTTATATACGAATTCTTTTGTAATCAAGTAAGTAAACCATGCAAGCTTTTATTATTACCAAAAACATAGATAATTCAATTTTAGTTATAGTCATTTAGTAATATTGAGGTAGTTATTAGTTTCAGAACTTAATACCAATTATAAAATGGTTCTAGAGATAACAGTAAATTCAAAAATAATATGTTGCTGATTATATAAAAATACAGAGTGAACAGTCACAGAAATAAAAACAATATAAATGTATATTGGACCTTAACACGAGTTCACAAGAGAAGCAACAATAACAGCCCCTCCGATAGGAGCCGCACTCGACCCGCGGCGTCCCCGCAGCGTCCCCGCAGCGTCCCCGCGGCGACCAACGTCCATTTAAATACACAAGATAACAGCACGAAACAAACCCAATGAGACAGACGACGACACATACCATGCACAAGTCGAGGAACTACCAAACGCTAATTAAACCACCATCAAGGTACACCGCTATGACAGACAACAGCGTGCGGAGAGCGGGGGCGCGCGGCGCGGGGCGCAGGGCGCAGGGCCAGGGGCCAGGGGGCGCGGCGCCGGGCGGCGGTGTAGTTCAGTCTCGGGCCGCGCGGCGCCCGCACCCCCAACTTAACGCTACTTCACAACGATACAATAAAAACTAAAACTATTTCAGCATTCTAATACCAATCAAAATTATAGTAGGTACATTGATACTCTCGCTCTCACTTACAACTGGAAGGAATCAACGACGCTCCTATATGTACACCCTTCCTCTCGCAGACAATGAGGCCCGCCGTCCGCCCTGCGCCCCGCACCCCACCGACGAGGCGGGTCGAGGGGTGCACAGAGTGCGGGATGCGGGGAGCGGGGTGCAGGGCGCGGGTCTAACTCTCCGCCGCCGCCACGCCGCGCCGCTCCGCCACTTGCGACCAACAACGCCAATGTGGTCCGAATGTCCGCGCGCTCTCGTCCGAGCGACGGCGGCTCCACAGACAAACATACGACAAGCTACAATAAAACGCAAATGTCGAAGCGGCTCGGTGTGTCAAAGAAGCAAGTAGTTGTCTCAAAACCTCATTCAGGAATGGAATGTTACGCATTCGAAACAATGACATCTGCTAAGCTCCATTTCAGGTCACAACAAGAAAAACTCTTCCATTTAACGATTTTCCTCCAAATCGCTTGCTATGGAGCGTTTTAAACGAAACACAAAACATTTGCCGTCGCGCGTTTGTTACCGCACCCACCAAATTGACCAAACTGCAATGAGACTAATGAACATATCAAGGTACAGAGGTGCAAGCACAATAACTTGTAATACAAATAATGAAAAATACTACCAAGGGAACAGCGACAAAAACAACAACTTTAAACATATTGAAGACATTGAAGATACCAATGATATTCAGTCGTAACATAGAAATAATAACTGAACCACATCGGTTCAGAGTGCTGAATGAGTCATCCCAAACAATGTAGTATATCAAAATAGTCCGACGTGCTGTGCTCCGTATACGCAACATGTCAAGCACACGTCTAAGACTTTGCTTTTTATCAGTGTAACAAGTTTCACTCTCGTATCAGCACTAACTTACAAATGCTAATAAATCAATCAATGTGTAACAAGACGTATGATTTTATGAACAGATATTTCGAGATTATAAAATAAAACAAGGGTAAATATTTAGTCATATGTTCGGTCAGTGCCTGGCTTAATTCATTTTTTCAGTTTAGGGGATAATAATTTAATCACTTCAATTCAGAAATGGGGCCACAAGAAAACATTAAAACGTAAGATTGCGCAGTTTCATTACAAACTCATCGCAATTATAAACATTTAGGTTTCTCAATTTCGACAATGAACACTTAATCTTAATTCCTCCTAGATAAACATCTGAATTGGCACAATCGTGTTATGTGTACGTTTTGTACACTCGAGTGTGGTACACGAGGCGCCGTCGCGACCACAACAAACCATCAAGCTAGCTACGGATAAAGAAATACAAAAACATTGAACGACAACACGTCGACGCTTACCAGCAGACAGCAGTACAGTAGCCAGACCAGCCGCGGCATCGCCTGTCGAGGTGCATGTCGACACGTCAACAAAAACAACAACCAACAATATACTATTCACGGTAAAATTCACATACAGGCTATATCTACTATATCGTAAATAAAAATTGTGTATATGAATATTTATACAGCGAGTATACATATAATCATCAAATTATCAACATGTCATAATATTAAAAGGTTATCCGGCATAAAATATGGTAAAATACGTAAATATGGTAATATACTTTACAATGTGGTAAAATTCAATAAAATATGGTAAAATACAAGTATATCATTTTACAATTAAAATTCGCTATATTTAATATAATTTAGGTAAATAGACAACAACATGTTCAACGTCGCTGAGTTATAATCTTGGATGAGATGCGATGCGATGCGATGCGATGCGATACGATGCGATGTGATGCGATATACCGGGCCACCAATGTGTTTACTTGTGCCATAGTTTGCGACTGTATGAGGGGATAACGATGTTGACAAGTGGTGGAGACGGTGAAGACGTGTCGGCGGGTGGCGAGCGGCAAGTGGCGAATGACAAGTGGTGGGGGGCGGGGGGCGGGAGGCATGTGGCGTGTGGCAGGTGGCAGGTGGCGGGTGGCGACGGTGGCGGGTGACGGCGGCGGCTACACCGGCGGCCGTCTACTGCTGCGGCGGCGGCGGCTGCGCGGCGCGGCGGTGGCGTGTCGGGGCCATCGCCTGCGCCACCATGTCTCGAATGCGCCGCTGCGCAGACTGCAACACACAATGGACATTGTCCACGTTTTAATAACATGTTCCATTTCTCTTGTACAAAAATACACAGCAAGCATTAACAATAATAGAATATGAAAAATAACAAGGTTAAGCAGTGTATCTGGTAATATAAAGATAATATAATTGAAAATTGTTTAATAAATGTTTTATTTATAAATAAACAAAACAAAAACATTTATAAACTTAAAATTTATGAATGTTTTTGTTCGAAAATCAAGTACCATAAGTATTTAAAAATAATCACGCCACTCCGTCCAATCTCTCCAACCATGCCGACCCTCGCAAGCGAACCCGCACACGGCATCCTTCGTCTAACGTCTCGTGTGCCAGCCACCACAACACTTCACCGTATTACACATGTAGTTACAAAGTCAAACAATCAATATAGACAATAAAAAGATTACCGAAAAACAAAAACGATATACTTTATTTGCAATTATGTTGTAGAATTCATTCGCCTTGAGTTGTAATTAATAAAGGGTGCAACTCACCTATAAGGCGGCGTCAAATGTATAAAGCGAACCGTGACGGCCGATTTCACAGGGCTATGTGTCTATCACAAAGTCTGGTGGGCCCACCTTCCTCACCCCGCTTCGGGAGATAGCTACAAAAATGTAAAAAGTTATTATGCCACAGTGAGTCGCCATCCTAACAACAAGTCGCCACTCATTTCGCTCTGCGTTTGCAACATTACTGTAGTACTTATCTGCTGGCCGCCACTGCCGCACACGCCGCAAGCAAGCGCGCTCCACCTTCACAACCCCTTCACGACATTGCTTCATTTGTAACTACATGTGTACACACGTTACTATCGTTCTTCTTCTTTCCTTTCTTTTGCGCACGCGCACGCGCACGCGCACGCGCACGCGCACACGCACAAGCACACGCACACAAGTCACATGCTGTACCTCATTCATACATTCAAACGACTTCGTATACACCAGCATGCACAGACAAGTAACATTTTCGCACAGCAAAATGGCATTGCTTTGCAAGAAGTACCAAATTAAAAGTTTAAACGTAGTATAACTATTAAAAGAAAAAAGATGGAGGGAGAAGTTTATATCTTATATATATAATATAAAGTGAAAAAAGCACCCTTTTATTACTTTCCATTTCAACGAACGTGATAAACCATTTTTTTAATTTAATAGTAAAGAAACCTCATGTTAAATTATTAATTTAAATTATTAATGATTTTATTCCAAATAGAAATAAGAAAGAAAGACTGATAGTATAAGAGACAGATGAAAGGAGACTAAATGTGGCAGAAATGCAATTGTCAAGATGAATGTGTAAGGTAACAACGGATAAGATACGTAATGAGTATATTAGGGGATGTTTGAGAGTAGCCGCAGTAGTAGAGAAGGTTAGGAGTAAAAGGTTAGCATAGTATGGGCATGTTATGAGGAGGGATGAATCGCGTTACAAGTAGAACTTTAGTTATGAGTGTGGAGGTACACCGGTAGAGGTAGACGTAGAAGGGAGTACAATAAGGAGGAAGATCCCACGGGAGTAGGATAAGGAGGAAGACAGGCGGCATTCATCGACAAATTATCAGAGCCGAATTAAATTAGCCCACTAGCGCCCTCCTATGGTAATATCTCATTTACACACTTTCCGACAGAAACACCCTCAAATATGAAATATCAGACGAGATTTTGTAGTTTTGTTGAAAAAGTCCAATGTGAAAGCCTTAGTTTTAATTTAGGCAATGTGAACCTTTAACAATTTATCTTATACAAAAAAACACTCTGTATTGATTTGTTTTATTAACATTTACAAATCAACTTCACAAAAAGATAATATCGATCGATTGGGTCGATCAGGCCCCATCGGGAAACTACTAGGCATGTGTCGGAGGATTTATTTTATAGTGTTAAAGATGCGCTTAATGGCAGTGACCTAATCAAAACCTATATTTAAATTTCACGTGTTTTGACGATGGGTAGCAATGGCATGGCGATGTTTATTTACTTTTGAATTTTTTGAGCCAAAATCACTTAGTTTTTCCACGAATCAATATTAAGTAACGTATTTATGACCCCAAGGTGGGTTGGTGGTTGATTTTTTTATCTTTTTCCTGGTACAAGTGGGGGCTGCCACCTAACATAGGGGTGAAAAATTGCAGCTGCAACATTAATTGAATTTTAACCCTGACCTGATTTACATTGTTTAATATACACTAAAGATCTCTCTTACTGAACAATAACTCTTGTGAGACGTATGCAACTATTTCTAACCGATATGTTTTTAGTAGGTTTTTCACAATTAGGTTTTGGAATACTTAAAGATATTTCGTAATTTATTAAATGGGTATGTAAAAAACACTTTTTATCTGCGATGGTTTCATTAACATGAAAAATGCGTGAAAGAAATAATAAATGGCCAAAGTATTAACTGTAAAACCTCCAATAGACTTGCTCTTACTTTATAATTTTACACTATAATAATTAGTGGCCCACCGAAACTAAACTTTCGGCCTTTTTTCTGTTTCGGTCAAAACAGAAACTATTTACTATAAGACACTAACAAGAGAACTTTAGAGTCAGGTTCCAATGTGAATTTAAAAGGGTGTTACGAGATCGAAAAAACGGTTTGTGCTCTAAACTGAAATGTCTAATTTATCTCCAAATACCTCATCTAAACGATCCGTAATCGCGGAAACCCACGTGGAGATCATAAAAGAACTAGCACTATTCATATTTAATAAATATAGGATACCACGATTCAGACGACTCGGCACATTGATTAAACCAATGCATTGTTTTGGTCTTCCAATTTAACCAACGATAAACCTTTGAATGATGACATTTTACACTGCAAAGTGTAACATACGAGTGTGTGTGAGGTGTTGTGCATGGAACGTGGACTGACCTGCACGCTATAGAAGGGTCCTACAATGTGCACGGTGGTCTCGTGGTCGGGCTGCGCGCCGGC